GTGGGTAGGATTCAAGGTGGGGGATGGGATGAGGGTGAGGTTTTGGAAGGATATGTGGTGTGGAGGGATTTTGCTGGAGACCCGCTTTCCTTTGATTTTTAATATTGCGATTGATCGGGAGGCTACGGTGGCTTCTTATTTGGGAGGTAAGGGTGTGGTAGTTGGGGATATTCAGTTACGGCAGGAGGTGTAAGATTAGGAGATTGCTCAGTTCGTGGAGTTGTGGGGTTTCTTATATGGTTTGGGGATTATGGGGGTAGGACAAGATGTTATGGTTTGGAATAGGGTGGGGGCAAAGGAGCCGTTCACAATTACATCATTATATTGGGGTTAGGTGGGGGAGTGTAGAAGGGTCTTTGCTTAGAAGAGTGTTTGGGTGTCGGGGGTTCTATATAAGGCTGCTTTCTTCATGTGGACGACAACTTTAGTACAGAATCTCGTGTTGGATAGTTTAATGCGGCGGGGGCATGTTTTAGTGAATCGTGCTATATGTGTTGTGCTGATGCTGAGTCAGTGGATCATTTGTTTCTTTATTGTTCGGTGGCTTCGCGATTGTGGGGTTTTGTTTGCTTACTCTTTGGGATTGCTTGGGTTCAATCAAAAGGGGTGTTGGATTTGCTTTGGGTTTGGCGGGGTGTTTAGCTTGGGCGTCAACGTCGGCAGGTGTGGTTATTGGCGCTGTTTTGTTTGATGTGGCTTGTTTGGTTAGAGTGGAATAGATGTACCTTTTTAGAGGTTTCTCGTGGTGTCTCTTGGTTAGAGAATCGTCTTCTTATAATTATGTAGAGTTGGTTGGAGGAGAAGGTTGATTCAGATCTATTTGTTTTTCAGATTTTTGGATGATGTGATTGGTTAGCGCTTGTTTTCTGTTTTTCCCTAATTGAGGAGGCTGTTTTGTATTTGTTGCATCATCTTGATGTTTTTTTAATAATATTTGTTTATTTATCAAAAAAAATATATATTTTTTACTATACAATTATACATTTATATAAAGACAAGCCTTGGCATAACGATAACGTTGCTTCATTTTGATTTGGGCGTCATGGGTTCAAAACATAGAAACAACCTATCTGCAAGTGGGGGTTAAGGATGAATACATCTGACCCAGTCTTGACCCTATTGTAGCGGTGAGAATATTAGGTTTATGTACATATGGTAGTATATATTTTGTATATATTAGGGATTAAGAGCTTATATTTTGGTGTCTGACATTATAATTAAAACAAAGTTTATAGAAGTTATAGGGTAGAAGTATAATAAAGGAAGAATCTGAGGAGCCAAACCACAATCAACTCCCACTGTAGTACAGATTCCAGACTCAGATGAGAGAGTGAGAACTAGACCTTCGCGAGATGAGAGAGAGAGGGAGCAGACCTTCGCACGAGGCACGACAGAGGCAGAGACAGACGACCAAAGTCCTCTCAGCTCAGATGGGCTGCAACGAGGATCTTCGCAACCTAGACGAGTTACGGTGATGGGTCACAACCAACACCCAGATGTACGCGATGAAACAAATGAGGCAAGAGCCCAAAGAACTAGAGAGAGATGAACTGGATTCTTCGAAGCAGATGATCTTCGATGAACTAGATGGGTCTCATGAGCCTAATCAAAGCAAAGCCTTGACTTGAAGATAACTACAGAGTTCAATCAAGTCCAGAGAACAGAGTCAAACCAGAAGTTAGAACCAGAGGGGATTTCACAATGGCTGCTAGGGTTTGACAACTAGCTCTGATACCATTTAAGTTTTCTGAATGAATCTCTATATTCAATTGTGTAATTGACACAAGAATACATCGGTATATATAACAAACCAAACCCTAGAATTGAAAAAAGAAACAAAAATATAAGCTCTCAATCCCTAATATATACAGAATATATACTAAGAATGCTTTTTTTGATAGCCATCTCACTGAGGGGGTTATATGCATCCTCCTCCTGGCCTTCCTCATTCCACTGGACATGTTTGTCGTTTTCGGCGTGCTCCGTATGGTTTGAAGCAATCTTCTTGTGCTTGGTATGATCGCTTTCAGACATCTGTTACTGAGCTTAGGTTTCATCCTTGTGCCCATGACTCCGCTTTGTTTCTCCTTCACATATCTGCTGGTTTTGTTGCCTTATTACTATATGTGGATGATATGATCATTACTGACTCTGACTGTTTTGCTATCTTGGAGGTCGAGCAACATCTCTTCTGCACCTTTGACATGAAGGATCTAGGCCCATTGCAATATTTTCTTGATATTGAGGTCGCTTCTTCTCTCAAAGGCTACTTTCTGTCTCAGGCCAAGTATGCCAATGAGGTTATTCATCGTGCCGGTCTTACTAACACGAGGGTTTCTGATACCCCCATTGATAATGTAAATCTCAACACTACTGATGGTTTTCCTCTAGATGATCCTAATTTATATTGAGAGCTTGTGGATTGCTTAGTCTATTTGACTGTTACGCATCATGATCTTGCCTATGCTGTTCATGTGGTTAGCCAGCTTGTTTTTGCTCCTCGCTCCACCCATTGGGCTGCATTGGTTCGGATTCTTCGCTATCTCCGAGGTACTATCTTTTAGGGTTTACTACTATCCTCTACTTCTTTGGACATGGTGGCCTATGCTGATTTTGATTGGTCTAGTGATGTTAACTGATTGCAAGTTCACGTCTGGTTTCTGTATGTTTCTTGGCGATTCCTTAATCTCTTAGGAAAGCAAGAAACAAACTATTGTTGCTCGCTCCACTGCCGAAGCTGCATACCATGCTATGGTTTATGCTACTGCTAAGATTGTTTGGCTTCATTGTCTTTTATCTGATTGCCTGTAACATTGTTTTCCATGAGCGGACGAATCACATTGAAATTGATTGTCCCTTTGTCTGTCAGCATCTATAGTCTGGCTCTATCTCGCTTCCTTTCGTCTCTTCGACTCTGCAACTTGCTGACTTCTTTACCAAGACTCACACCACTGCTAGGTTTCAATTTCTTCTTGGCAAACTCAGTGTTTTCTGCTAAAACACCTTGAGTTTGAGCGAGGGTGTGAGAATATTAGGTTTATGTATATATGGTAGTATATATTCTATATATATATATATATATATTAGGGATTGAGAGCTTAAATTTTAGTTTCCTTTCTCAGTTCTAGGGTTTGGTTTGTTATATATACAGATGTATTCTTGTATCAATTACATAATTAAATATAGAGATTCATTTAGAAAACTTACAGTAGCGAGTGTCTCGTGCACGGGGAACCCTTTTACATTTATATATTTATATATGAAACACATAAACGCTACCCTAGGCACTCATAACCTTTAATTCTTCTGTGTCCCTGTACCTGGTTTTGCTTTGTACAGGGTGCAACAAAGATCTATACAATAGTCAATCAGATACAACAAAATAAAAATGGTTGCAATGGTAAAGGAGGACTAACCGGATCTAGGTTGAAGGGGCTACAGTTGCAAAAGGGAAGGCTTTGGGAAGGAAAAAAATGTGAACCCAATAAAATGGGTATATCGCACACTAAAAATATGGATATATTTTTGATCATCAACAAAGAATAATTCCAATAAATTAAAGAAATTAATATAATATTATAAAATATTGATGAATATAACGCAAAATGTTGATAATAATTCTAATAAATTAAAGAAATTGATATAATATTATAAAACAATGTGAACGATATCAATGTATCAAGATTTTGAAATTACGGGTATATTGCAAAAATAGCAGATGCTTCATTTCGTGATAAGATAGTGACAGATGGCTTCAGTAAGTTGTGTACAATGTGTATAAACGTAACTGTAAATTCATAGATTTCCTATTGGTACTTTTAGCCATCCACCTGATTGGCGAGATCACCCAGAACGCACTTAATTACATATTACATTTTCATGTTCTTATGCATCCCCTATTATGTAGGTTCGACTCTCAGGGCTGCCACTCTTTGCAAATGAAACCAGAAGTTAGGTTTATATGCAGTCCACCTCTTCCAGCACTAAATAGTGACCTTTTCCCTTACTTTTTCAGTGTAAATTGATTCAGTACAACTATTTAGCTACCATTTTAACTGGTGAAGATGTTGAAGCAACTCAAACAGTGGAATTGCTAGACCAACATGAAACAGTTTATTTGTCAACTAATCCATATTCATTTGTTAGCTATATTATGTACATGCCAATATTTTCTGACACCAAACATGAAACACCCCCTAATGTAATTGAAACATACACATGTATAGTGTAAAGCTCTATATAACCTGTTCAGTCATGCAAGTAAAACCTTGAGCTGTATACATTATACCTTCGCTAATTGAAACAACAAAAACTACGAGCTGAAAATCTATTCCATAGGCACATAAAATACAGTTTCCCAAATTATCAAACAAATAAAAATTGAAATATAGGGTCCCTTACAAAGTAGAAGTGTGGAAAACCATTACACAATAGAGACAGTGCACAAATAAGGTAAAATTTGTGCATACGTAAGGTTAAAATAAATGCCCAAATTGAGTGCAAACACAACTCATAGCTAAAATCAGACAGGGTACATATAAATAATAGAGAAATAGACAATTTAAAGCTAAAACCTGTACAGAAGGGTATTGCCCAAATATATGATTAATGTATAGACTAAGCCTGTATTTCAATAGAGATATGTCTTTATAGGCCTCAAATTGCAGTTCATATTTCAAGACTAAAAGCACAGGGCAAAAGGACAATTTGTGGCAGAACAAGAGATTCAGAGTTGATAGGATTCACTCATATAGGCATGTGGCAAGTATGTTAAATGTAGCATGGATAGCATTTGTAGACACTGAAGGGCTTCAATCCTCTAAGGTTCCACATGGAAAATGTCTTAACAATCACAAATTAGAATAGTCACCTCATGGAGATAATAACAGAGTGATACTGAATCTTTATCTTTTAGTGTTGACCTTCACATAATGGGGAGGTTTGACAATCTTTATCAAAAGCTATACCAATAAAGCAGGGAGAAACAGTAAATATAGTACCTGTGTTTCAGTAACATGGTGGACGGCAGACTTCCAAGGTCCACCACTGGCCTCCAACTGCCTGGCCCAATTACGCGCCTGTTCCCAGTGCCCATTCTTTTCTAATGCTGTTAGAAGTGAGGCATCATCCAAAGTCTCATTTCCTAGGTGTAAACCATCATCTATGCGTAATGAAGGCTCTGCTAAATTAATTTTCCAATAAAGTCGTCGATAATTTGTTGCAGCAGAGCCTCCGTCACCAAAGTCAGTTGCTGAAAGAAGTTGAAATAAACATCTTTTTTCATATGGTGATGGACATGTTGAAAGCATTGCATCAGCAGCTTTCACTGCAGTGGAACTTATCCATGAAGTCCCAATCTGTCCTTTTGCTAGGTTTGTTTGTATATGAGCAGGCTCTTCTTTAATTCTGGCAGAAAAGGATCCTAGATGTGCAGAAGCTTCTGATAGACGCATTTGTGAAAATGCCTGAAAAATAGAGGAAAAAACTCAGGTTTACATTTGAACACTAAAAAAATATACAAATCCCTCAAACAAGTAAGCTGAAGCACCTTTATCCCATGAAAAATACTTCCAAAACAAATTGAATACAATTTTTTGTTTGATAAAGGCAGCTAAAAAAAATTCTCAAAATTTGACTTTTATAAGTCGTCCATACCTCAAATCCTTTATACATGGTACATAACTTGACATTGCTGATTATGCCTCCATTGAAGTTCAACACGGAAGCATATTGATAAATATGTTTTGATGAATTACTATATATACTCCTATATAGCTCCCGCTTTCAACCCAATCTATAAAGTTTTTAATTGGGATATTAAATCTCGTTTGGGAACAGGCTATTTTAGTAACTTTTTGGCTTTTTACGAAAAGATGTGCAGAAAAATAGAGAGAGTGATGTGACAACTTATAGTGACTTTTAAGATAAAATACTAAGTCCCCAAACGATGAAAAATGCGTCAAATTTAACTCTTTTTTTTCTTTCAAACAAATTGAAATGATTTAAGTTTTTCTAAACCAACAAACCACCAAAGTAATCAACAATAATGCCTTGAACTTTCTGAATAAGAAAAACACAATGTATTAGGCTTCAGGTTTTGGAAGTAGCTTGCTTGATCATTATACATTCTTTTGGGTTTAATATATATAGTATAATACAACCACACACGCATGTGCACATGCACACGCACGCATATACACTCAGAGTATAACAATAATAAACGGTAATAACAGAAGAATGTTTTAACCATCAAGCTAACAAGGTTAGAAACTCAAAGAAAATGAGCAGTCCAATCTATCATTTTATATAAAATCAATTTCCTCTTCTGTTCGGACAACTTTAATTGAAAAACTCAGCCCACACTTTTTAAAATCCAGGTATTAAGGAGAGGGAAACTGGAGCCTTATAACTAGCACAGATGGGGCAACTCTAGGCGATGTGGCACACATTCCAACACACCCTCCTGGACCACAACATACAGTAACCAGACAAACGGCACACCAATCACAGGCCCAACAGTGTATATAGTATCAGAGCTTAATTGGACCCGTGACTGGTGTGCCGTTTGTTCGGCTATTGTATGTTGTGGTCTAGGAGGGTGTGTTGGAATGTGTCTCACATCGCCTGAAGTTGTTCCATTTGTGTTGGTTATAAGGCTCCAGCTTCCCTATCCTTAATACCTGAGTTTTAAGGAAAAGTGTGAGTTAGGCTTTTCAATTTGATATCAGAGTTAAGTTGGGCCTATAACTGGTGTGCCGTTTGTTTGGCTACTGTATGTTGTGGTCCAGGATGGTGTGTTGGAATGTGTCCCACATTACCTAGAGTTGCCCCGTCTATGCTAATTATAAGGCTCCAGTTTTCCTCTTCTTAATACTTGAATTTTATACCAAATTGAAAAGTCCAGCCCACACTTTTCCTTAAAATCCAGGTATTAAGAAGAGGGAAATTGAAGCCTTATAACCAGCACAGATGGGGCAACTCCAGGCGATGTGGCACACATTTCAACAGTTTTTGCTAGGTCATTTGTAAAATGCAGCCACTTGGCAATGTCGGAAAAGTTCTAAAAAGTAAAGGTAAATGAAAACCATAAAAACAAAGTAGAAGACATGCGTTAAGGTCATGGAGAGATACAGGAAGATGGTAGCGACATTTTTTGATGTATTGCAATCCTAGGGAGTTTACTTTAAGTGAGTGGGTACACGTAAATTTTGCAGACAATATGATGCAAATTTGAGGTTAATATCAGTATGAATGGGCTATAGAGACACAGGGAGATGGTCCTGATGTTTTGTTCATGGAAGTAAAAACTGTGATGCTTTGTTCATAGAAGTAGAAACCATACTGGAAAAAAAGAGAGTTCCATCCAACATCAAGAATCACACAAATAATATGTAAAGCTTGCTTCATAAATGATTATACACGGGTCAAACAAAGAATACAAAGGTAGGATCTCAAAGTTTTATATGGTGTTACAAACCTGAAGTGCACGGATAAAAGGTAAGAGTGAACATGATGGAAGGAATATCTCAAAAGCCCTTAGCAGTGGGAGAAATAGGTGTTGTTCACAAAGCACCACAACCATCTTTGACAACGAAACAGGCACTTCACCAGAATCACTTGATACTTTAATGTGTTCCTCAGCTTGGTTTTTACTCTCCTCTTCAATAATGATGCCTTGGGCAGCAATTTTGTTTGCACTACCAGTAACACAAACGTCAGATGCTGTAGAAGCCAAGGGATCCATTGACATTGAATCCATTGGCACGGGCTCCATAAGCCGCCTACGTTTCAGATTTCTCCGGTTGTAATGAAATGAAAGAGCCCTAGCACTTGCTGGCAGGGAATTAGTAGCTTCCACAGCCGCTGCGACATTATTTGCAATCTGCGAGGCAATGTCGTTCACCTTGATGGATGATGTTTCCCTGAAAAGATAATACAAAATGTTGAAAAAATAAGTTGAATGCAGAAGTGGATAAGAGAACACACAAAATCACTTAGTACAAAGGGTAAAAGATTTTGTATTTTAGGAAAGCACAAAAACTATAAAAAGCATGAAACATTGTTTCATCTGGAAAAGCTGATGGCAACCTTGCCGCAGTGATTTCCAGCCATACGGTTAGGCAGGATAATGGAGACACATCTGCAAAACATGATGCAATCATTGCCAAAATAGACCAGCACATATCCTTTGCTTTCAACAGGAGGGCCTTGCCAGGATTCTTCTGCTTCTCACAGTCTGCTAGAATTCCAAAGAGTTCAACAGGGATATAAGTGTTTTCATCAAAAAAGGAAGTTTCACTCCCTTTCTCAGTAGAATCCGAGATTGATGAAGGACTAGCTTTTTTCCTTGATTGCATGCCTTTCAAAACTGTTACTATGTGAATTCTTAGACGAGAATCACTGAACTCTTTTGATCCCTGAAACATGACAGTTAAAATAAATGTAAGAAGAATTAACTGCTCGTTTATGTAGTTGAAATTAAAAAGAAAAAATAGCCACACACACACACAAAAAAAAAAAAGAGAGAGAGAGAAAAGGAAAACATAGTTAAAGGGACATGAGGCTCACAACTTGGATAACTGTCTCAAAAGGATATCGCCCAACTTGAGCTTCTGACAGAAATCCAACCTGACAGAAGATAATGCAACTTTAAACTTCAAAGTCTAAGAAGAATTTTAATCTATTCCAAAAAAGTAAATGATATCAATAAAGACATACCCAGTCATTATCTCTTGCTAATAGAGCAAGGTATTTGGTACTCAAGGAAATCTGATGCATCTGACAAAAAACTGTAACCAGATTCCAATGCTGACTTGCAATTTTTTGCTGAGACCTTAACTCAGCTCCATCACCATTGCCACTCAATAGCCAAGAACCACATGTCTTTCCATCAAACAACAATGGAAGACTCACCTTTTCCAAATGCTGCAACACTAGCATGAGAGCTCGGGAGGGTTGTCTATTGGTAACAGCATTTAAATTTCCTGTTTTTTTTATGACACCAGGACTGTCACGGTGCAGATAATCATCTGCCAATGCTCGAGCAAGAGAATCTGTAATATCATCTTCATGGGACACTGAATGAAATGCTGAGCCCTTGGGTGAAAGTTGTCTATAATGATCAGAATAATCGCTGGGCTTGTAGAAAGAAGATATCCGCCTTAAAGCAGCAATGTCTATTCTAAGCATACTTGCAGATAAACCACATAGCTCCAAGAGAAAAGCACATGAAGCCACTAACACAGAATCCCCAAAATGCATAATAGCAAGCGGCACAACCTAAATATTAATGGAGGAAGTTTTCAGAAAAAACATCACTACATAATAAAACCAGTTGTAACATGTAAACCCATTACAGCTCTCTGCCAATAAAAAAACTAGAATATTGCGCCTTTTCTTGTTGCATTACAACCAATTATACATATACAGAGTTCTCTATGATGTAACTGTCCATGATACTGATGGATAAGGTACACACAACATGCTGTTTGATGCATATTTAACAGGCACGTCAGGGTGAAAAAAAACGGAGAAACATATTCTTTATTAGAAATTACAATTGTTCTGTTCCTCCATTATATAGTCGTGATTGGAAACAATGTGTCAAATACACCTACAATATTTAGACAATCAAGGTACAAATGAAAGGAACTGACATCTTTTAACCAGACAGTCGTACCATTAGGAACAAATATCTGCAGATTCTACAAATTTAATGTCTATTGACAAATCGATTTAAGTTCACTTAACACTTCTGTGCAGACCATTGTTTTGTTGTCACATTCATCAGTTGACTTTCCAAATGCCATGGCTAGTAAGGCCACAGGGTTGCTACTGTAAGAAAGGGGTAGCTACATCACACTACCCACAACAGCATCGTGTCTTCCAGCTCAATCACACTGTCAGTGCCACCTCAACACACCTGTTACCCAGGGACGAACTACGAGCAGTTGACGGTATTCACTTGAATACCTTGAAATATTTTTTAGGTAATTTGTATTTGGATTATCACTTGTTAGACCAGAAAAAAGTTGTTGAACACCTATTAAACTAACCTTATAAAAATTTTGAACACCCTTAGGCTCTGTTTTTGACTACTTTGTGGACAGTACAGTTTGATTGCCTTGCATTTTTTATTATTAAGGCAAAGTTTGAACCCATTTGTTTATTCTTTCAACAGAGAGTTCCAGGAAGCAATATGATGCCTTGACAGTTTGCTATAAATTTGAATAAGAAAATCTAGGACATGGGAACAAGAAGAAAAATGCATGCTCCACATTAGACAGTTGTAAGTCCAATTCCGGTAGCCTCAGACCAACAGCCTAATCAAATTCTCAAAGACATAACCATTTTTTTTTTTAGATAGGGAGGGGAAAGAAATAACCATTTAAAAGCCTTAGAAAGAGACAAAGTACAACTCCCAAGGAATTCTAAAGCACTGCCAATCTTCTTTAGTTCTCAATTCCCCTCTCCAAAAGACGCATACACAAATAATAGCTTCAGTCACTATTTTTGCTCTTTCATCCCTTATCCTTGGAAAATTTCCAATAAGTGAAATTTTCATTGTGTCCTATTAATTCATGAATCAGCCCTCTCAACATAAAAGTGTTATCAAAATTCATGAAAATTTACTTAGAATGATTTACTTGATATTTTCTCATCTTTCTTTTCAATCTTCTCCATGATATGGCTGGGACTTAGAACCATAGCAGCTAACTGTTTTTTGGCAAGTATAGCAGCCAGGTTTTCTCCTTTCATATCACTACTTTGACCTTTCACATTTGTATATTGAAACTGTAAAATTGTTTTGTGTTGTCTGTTAATTTTGGGCTTTCAGGGTTTGACAGTGTGAGGGGTCTTTCAGGGGATTTTATATGGTAATTCTCCAAGGTTATGACAATCAGGGGTGTAAGAAACAAGTCAATCAGGGATCAAGACGAAGGGTCTTACAGATCTATTGCTCTTAAAGCATTTTAGTGTCTGCAGGAGGTGGATGTCGCAGTTCAATCAGCAGAAAAGTGGATCCATGGTATCCTGTGATTGTATCACTCTGCCTCTTTATCCTGTGGTTCTTTTACCCCGGGAATGATCATTCCTAAGATTTCAAGAAGCAAATTCTAGTTGGTTTGTTCATTTTCTAAAATTCTAGGTAATAATCATTCGTAAGATTCAACAACTGAATTCTTATTATCAGATTAAGAAGATTGGAAAAGAAAATTCTAGTCGGTTTGTTCATTTTTCTTTGCCATAAATTGCCCATGTATCTACGTATTTTTTTGGTCCAAACAATATATTAATATTTCCTTTATTTATAAATTGAGAAGTTTAAATTAGCAGAGTTATTGAAAATAGATGATATATACATATAAAGGCAATATCTTTTATATAATTTGTAAAATCTAAGTTTTTGAATGACTAACATGATGAAAATTCCTGAAGTCATCATTGTTGTCACGACATATCTTAACCTACAACATGTGGTAAGCGGGTGTTGTCAAAGACCAATAATAATTCCAAGAAAGTTGATATATGCAAGTTAGCATATCAGTCCTTAGAACCAAATAAGGTTCATATAAATTTATTTCTTCATATACCATAATCTATACTGAGTTTTTTAGGCCTCAACATCATTTTAATTTCTTGTCTTATTATTGTCTAATGTCCAGATGATTAAATGTAGGGCTCTAAAACAGTCAAAATCTACTACAAGTAGTTAACTTCCATTACAAATACATTTATATTTTGTTATATCAAAATAGGAAAGTAGTATTTGGTTACAGTCACTTTTCTGTTTTCTGCTACAGAAACTAGAAACATGCTTTTTTTTTGCAAAAATAAAAACAATTAACATGTTTGGTACACATATATGATTACAAAACAAATAAAAACAAGAAAACATGTTTGATTAGTTGCCAGGGGAGATTGCAAGAGGGGGTGGGGAATTGCCGTGGAGGGGAAAGGGGATGAAAATTTGTTTCTAAAAGAAGTGAAAACACTTTTTTCTATAGAAGTCCATTTACAAAACATGTTTCTGTTTTAGATCAGCAAAAGAGTTAATATTTTTAAAAACATCTACAACAGAGGCATCTAAGTAAATACACTAAAGGAAATAATAGAGTGCTGCTATTAGCACCCCATCAATTATTTTGGAGCCCCCATTTTTTAGTTTTATTTATTTATTTATTAAAATAATAACCTCAAATGAAATTACTAAAAAGGACATAAAAAATTTTGGGACACCCCATCTCACAATTAAACCCACACACTCACTACATCATGAGTTAGGGTTTATGAGACAATAAACCTCCATCACCATCCATCCATCTTTCCCAAATCCCACCTTCAAAACCTACCTACCCTCAAAACCTTGAAAATCCTTTCCAGTGGCAACGATGGCAACCATTTGATTACATACACTTCTCCGGCAATGACAATGAGAGGAAGTTTTTTCGGTAACCATAACTCCATGAGACGAGAGAAGTACAACAATAAAAACTCAAAAGAGGTTCATAACTTTCATGGTATTCTTAGCTCAGAGAAGTTTGGCTTTGTAAGGCTAAGTTTCTTGTAAACAACGGTAAAAATAATAAAAATTGTTCGCTATTTTTTCGGGACTGAACTCCCGAACATATGACCGAAATTCGGGAACACATGTCTGAACATTGTTTATTTGTTCAGGAACAGGTAACCGAACATTTCTTATTTGTTCGGGAACAGATAATCGAAGCAGGCAAACGAAGGAGGTCGGACCACAATTGGGTAGTCGACTGGCTGGCTGACTGGAAGGTGAAATCCTGCCCAGTTTTGCTCACATAGAGAGCATACAAGTACAGTGAGGCCATGGATGGGTCACAGAAAACCAACCAAAGAAGTATGAAAGTGGATTGTATTGTGTGTGTGAAAAGAGGTAATAGGAAAAAAAAAAAAATCAAACAGATTGAAAAACCTCATAATTAAGCAGAGAAAAAACTTCTTAATCACCACAAATTTTTTCCACTGGTTTTGGGAGGTTCCACTATCGTGGGTTTTGTTAGGATTTTGGGAGAGAGGCTTTTTGGGGTGTGCATTTGAACAAGTGAAATGTTTTTATAAGGATAATTTTAGTATTATTTGGGGGGAGAAAATAAATTTCAAGGGTTTTAAAATTTATAAGTAGAGGTCCAAAGAAATGGAGGGTCCAAAATAATTGATGGGGTGCTAATAGCAGCACTCAAATAATATTAATGTATTGCTATATAAGAAAATTTCAATCCCTTCCAAGTAGAAATCAAAATGAAAAGTGACCCTACAGATGAAAGAAGAGACTCTTCACTTTGTGCTATAGGCGTGAGAAGCGTTTGCACATCTGCTTGAACGTTTGTTTGCCCATGTACTGAAGTGCCAGATTGTCCTCTATGGGTGTTCTCCAATTTCAACTTTTGAACTCTAACACCAAGAAGATGGTTAAAAGCTGCCAGTGCACGTCCACGATGCAAATGGTGCTCAAGTCCAAGTCCACTTTCCTGAAGATAATCAAGCAACTGATATGAGACAAGGAGATCATGAAACCAGACAATTGACATGAGTGACAACCAGGTGGCAGTTGCAAATCTCTAACATAAGCATTCCAACATATTTTGCCAATATCATCACCAAAGAAGTAAGAATATTGATATGACAACATAATGCTAATGTTGAAAAGTCCATCAAAGCCAAGAACATTCAAGGCCATAAAGTATACTCTAAACAGCGAAAACTAAACCAAATACTTAAAAAATATTTCTCTTCCCTTTCTTCTCTATTGTGTGTGTGCGTGTGCGTGTGTGTGTGTGTGAGAGAGAGAGAGAGAGATTTCAGTATCTGATGAGTGAAATAAATGTCCTCCAAGTAATTTGCTGCCCATTTTGTAAAAGTGTCTTCTACAGTGCAAATCTTTCCCCCCACTAATCCATGTACACTTAGACAGGTACCAAGCATGCAAGAAATATTACTCTATTTCTGACAATATTACAAGACAGATAAATGCAAACCCAAAGAGAGGAAAGGGAGGACTTCAGCTACATAATCATGGGCATAATGCAGTTGGACATTAATTAAAGTTAACAAGGTAATAAAGCATTCACCACTAGGATTGATCTGCTATCTCAAAAGTAAAGTATGTAAACATTAATCAAATATTATGGGAAAAGAGCTCCACTACCTCTAGCGAAGAAGCATACAGTTCCTCCACATGTTTCTGTATAGCAGCTTCCCAAGAGATGGCACTGATCTCAGCATGTTCATCAGCATTAACAAAAAAATCAATGTCCCTAAGTGGAAATTCTCCAGCAGGCACGCCAGCAAGTGACTGCCAACCAAGAGGACCCTGCAGAAAAACAACAATTTAAAACCAAATAACCAATGACAAAGTAAAGGAGCATTTACAATGATAAATCAAGGATGCTGGTGATTATTACAGGCACTGTTTCACACATGAATTACATATAATTGCCAGACCAATACTTACTAGCCTGGCAGGCTAGCACAAAGTTCAGTACATAACCCTCTTGATCTACCAAGTAGCTCAGAAGACAAATTTTTCCAAGAAGACAATACGAGGGAAAACAAAAATAACCTGCACATAAAGCTGAATTAATCTCCGCACAGCCTTAGAAAACCAGCATGGGAGCATTTGTAGAAGTGAAGTATCACGTCCAGTTGAGAGGAATATGTTCTCGCGCCAATTTAGATAGTCTGATAAATCAGAATTTTCAAACACTGTAAATTTAAGACAATTATTAGAGGCTACGAAAAATATAATGCAAAACCTGGGGATATTAGTATACAACCATTTCAAGCATGACCAAGAAATGGGAAGTACAAGAAGAAAAGAGACTAACTCACTATTTTTTGTTTTGGGGCCCAAAAAATTGCAAGTTGAATCCTGTCCAAAGCATGCTGCAACAAGTGTACGCCACAGTGTAGGGGGGAAGTGCTGAAGTGCTGGCCTAAGGTTCTCCAATGTGCACTGAGCTGAGGAGCTGGAATGTCTGTTTACAGTACCACTGCTCAGGCAATCTTGAATTGGAACAGGGGCATACATTAATGTGGCTAAAGCTGCCATTTCTCCTTCCTCCGCAATGTCATCAACAGTACGAACTATGTCATCAATCTCCAGTAGACTCAAATTATTACCAGGAACTAAATTGCGTGAGGTAATTGAGCGAGCATTACAGAATGATGAATCATACTCGAGCCCTTTAACCCTTGACAAGAGCAACCATTTTGCCCATTGACTATCTCTCTGTAAACAAACATTGCATAAACAAAGATGACATGAAAGCTCAAAACAATTACTAATTGCATTCAACAAGCTACACTGCATAATAAAATTAATAACAAAGTCAATAATAAACAGAAAGCTCTAAGCAAGATGACCGACAACTGAACAACATAATAATAGGTTTAGGAACTCCTATGACAAACAACGTGTGATTAACTTCAACTGTTATTTTTGCATTAACAATCACTAGAGCATGTATAACTTATTTTTCCAGAAATACAAATTGAATTGAAGTCACGTTGTGGATTAATTGTCTAAGTTCATAACAATTTGTTCTTTCCTTATAGAACATAGTAGAGGCAGACCAATAGTTCAGAAACCAAAAATAATTAAAAATTGAGGGAAGAAAAAGAAGTATGGAATTTTAATTCTTGCTTTGGTATGAAGTTGTCGACAAATACATCCATTCTTTGAATTGCCATCTTGTGATATGCCATTTCTCAGCTGCTTGCAGATGCTTAAAGTAGGATATTATGCTTATGAAATGTGTGATGATTCATACCTATGCTAGTGAGACATTAATTAACCATAACTATTGGCCGTTGTGTTCCAAGTCCAAAGGAGTTTCTCATTCGAAAAATTACATACACAAGTCTCTAATCAAACAATACAAAACAACTCTAGGCTTTTATACTCCAGCTATGTTCTTGAAATTAACAACCATTATTGCCATTTAAATGCCGAGGCATTATTCAATATTGTCACTGTTTCACCCCATTTCAAACAAAAAATAACCCTGCTTTGAAAAAAGCTTTGCCATTTCTCATATCCAGAATAACACTAATGTGATTTCTCATATCCAAAATAATGTGCTCAAGTACATTAATGTATTTCTCATATTCAGAATAACTTGAGTACCACATGAGACTACATCTGTGATTAGCACCTGGCTGCTATGTTTAATTGGTATTTTCACATCCACTAGCTGTACTATTGACAAGCAACTGAACAAATAGATGCATGCAAAAAGTGCATTTAAAAACAGGTGACCAGAATGCATGCAAACTTGAAGAACTGTAATACTCACAAAATAAGAGTGAACTTACTGCAGATCTCAGCAATCCAGAAAGTGAATCTTTATCTAGAGCCAACTTGTGCTGGTCAAGGTAAAGGTCCAAAAGGTTTGGCAAATTATATTGCACAGAGTGATGCACAATGAGTTTATGTAAAGCTCCGATGGTACTGAGGTGACTTGCTTCACTAGTATTTGGCAAATTCATACCAGATGGACTCTCACCAAATTCATCCAGGAATGAGGCTTTATGTCTGCTAGATATAAAGCCTGACTGTGCCAGGAGAGGCACTATCTCTGCTGTGCCTTCCCAGAATTCTTTCAGAAAAATAAATTTGGTAGCAAGCTGCTGTTCCATGAGAGTTCGTAACCACAACGAGCACATATTATTAGCCGAAAACATGAAAATTCTGACGTCTGGTACATCCATGCAGACAGAATCCAAATCTTCAAGAGGACAAATGTAGTTGCGATAGTCAGGAGATTCAGTGCTACATCCAGGTGAAACTGATTGTAAACCATCCAAACTGATTTGGAGGACTCCATCAGATGATGAGGATGATGGAATCATGTCTAGAAGCTTGGAAACTTCTACCCAGTCATTGTGGCATATGTGGTACTCAAGTCGTGATTCCCATAATACATCAACATCCATACAAAAAGGCTGATCCAGCATTATCTGTGAAGCATGATACATTAGTTTAATTTTAAGCGATATTCATATTTCAAATAGATGCAGTAAACAATTTTAAATGCAGAAATCAGTCACCTGCAACAATGTGAGAAGTTCAGGGAACTGCATTACCATGTTTAAACACAAGACAGAGCACCTAGTTCACCAGTCAGACGGGGAGGGGCATGCTGACAACTGGCAATAGGTGATACCACTCAGGAGGGCCTCACTTAACAGTAATTTCAATTCATTTGATTTTTAAAGCCTTTTTTAAAAGCTTATTCAATTAAAATATAAAGACATATGGCTCAGTTAAAACAACAAAGATATCATATCATGGAAAATTAGAATAAATTCTTTTAGGGACTATGGCAAAGTGTACATTAAGGCCCTAGAAATGAATAAAATTTATAGCCATTGAACATTTTGCCACAAGAGTTCCCCTTAGGCTTTACTATTTCACATGTTCATCCTCTTCTCCATGCCCAAGTAATCACACACACAGGTAATAAATAACAACAAATAGAAGCTCCTTTCACAGAACTGGCTAGAAAAAAAATGCATGAGAATAAACCAGGGTACCAAATCGATTCCTAACAAAGGCAGTCTTTAGTTTCTATGGGCATGGGTATGTGTTTTTAATTTAAGAACCAAAAAATGCAATTAAAGAAAGAAAGAAAGAAAGACAAACAAAACCAATTGCTTCCATTAGACAGTAAAAAACATAATAAATAAATAACAATTGAAAATTGATCAAATCATCAGACTATATTTCTAATTTCTGATCATCCAAGGATACAAAATACAACATAATATGTACGACACAACCATTTAAGGAATAAGACAGCCTTGTTTCCTTAGAAGTCAAACCTCTACCTACAATATATGAACATTGAAAAATCCAATGTCGTCATAGTTATCCAAGGCATGACAAAATTTCAAAAGTTTCATTTAAAAATAGAACCCAGTGTGTGGATTAGTTCCTATTGCATGACTGTAAAAGTCCATAAAGAAAAATACTTGACTTTTTTCAACGACCTCTGAATAACGTTCTTCAATTCCAAAAGAATGCACAAGAACCAGCTTTTTAAGATGCTTTTTTTTCCTTCTTGAATCAGCAATAAAAGTAATTTTATTGAGGAAACAAAGAGGAATACAAAAAGAAGGCAAGGAGTCCTATACAAAGAAGTAAACACTAACATCACACAAACCCCAAGAGCATCACAAACATTACAAATGCATTCACTTCTCTAGTCAAAAGAGGCCACATCTCCTAAATCCCCATGATTAGTTAATGACTTCAAAAATATTGTTATAAATTTTCACTTTGTTGGAAGCTATTCTTTTAAAAATTCTCTCAAAGTAGGGAAAGAGTAATGCACCTGAAGCCCAATGGTACGTTTACTAGTGTCTTCATCCGCCTGCCACTCTTATTCCAGCTATTTTGCCATTTAGAGGACTCTAAATGACAAGGTTTGTTTTTCTTTTTTTCTTTTTTTTTTTGGGAATATTAAATGGCATAGTATCACATTCTAATAATATTATTCAGGAAAGAAAATGAGTGACTTACACGATCAATAGTTTTTTGATCCCAAGCATCAAACCAGATTGCAGCAGCTGCCCAGTAAGCAGCATGACTATTATCCTCATCAGACACAGGAACAACAGAATGTTCATTGACATTTTCCCATGCGCCTAGCACAACTCCATCAATCTCACCACACTTAATGATGAGATCTTTGGAAAAATGTGAATGCGAAAGGCACAGATTAACCTCTCCTTCTGAATCTATACTTGAAACTCTCATGAACTCGTTCTGCCGGTGATTAAAGGTTCTCCAAAAACTACTGCATGGGTAGGCCCTCTTTTCCATAAGAAAACAACCACAAGTAAGCTCAAAATCAATCACTATAAACTTAATATTGCCACCACCTAGGCTTGTATGCATTACATAACTAGTAACTGTATAAATCCACATACCTCAATAAGTGAAATCCTCTCCAAAATCTTCCACTCATACGGACCAAGGTATCCATATTTTTTCATCTCCTCAGCAATTTGCATACGTAGAGATCTCCTAACAGTGCCAAAAGCCAACTGTTTGAGACTGGTGTCAATGTCCTCCCCAAGCTTATGCAACGTTGCTACAGCAAGTTCAATTTCACCCTATTGATAAAAAATTAATTAGCGCAAAAATGAAGTCAATCTCAAATAGTTTAAATAATGACAATTAAGCTACCTCTAAAAATAGATCATAAGCAATAGCCCTTCCAACATCACGAACTTCAGTGAAAGTATCATGAGGCTCTTTGTCGATGACCAAATCTGTCATACGATGAAGATGCAACTGAAGAACAGCTAAAGGAAGACGACCAGAGAGTAAAGCATCTTTAACAATAGTTTTTAGGTCCAAATTATCTATTTCCCAACGAGCTATCATATCCTTTGGATTTTCTACGGGGAAAAAATTCCTTCCCAAGGCCTTCCCTTCTGACAGAAGAACAGATACTCCAGTGGCTGAATCTGAATATGCTTTTGAGTTGAAAGATTCCATGTGTATCAAAGCAAGCTTTTCGGCATTGTTCAAGTCGACATCAGATTTGGCAATAGAAAGTTCATGTTGGTTCGATGTCTCCAATGATAATGCACCTGTTGGATGAATTGAAAATTCTAAGTTGTCCTGCGATAGATTCGAATCTACCAAACTTAATTTCCCCACACCATCCACCTGCAAAATATAGTAAAGGAGATTCATTTATTCTAGTGATAAATGCAGGCAGTAAAACAAATTGCAGTGTAGCAGAATCACACAAGACCTTACCGATCCTTGACCAGGCCTTTTGACTTTGGCACTAAGCCGACATTGCAAATTTCGTATTATCTCTAAAAAGTGAGCCATCTCTCGAAGCCTTCTCAAATTTCCCATTGCATTATGTTTTTCGTTTGGAACAACTGACACAAGTGAAGAATTCTCAACTCCCCTACTACCCTGTAATACGAATGGATCCTTCCTATGCTGCATCAACCCATATTTACGTATCATTTTGGTCGCAAAGCACGTAGCCAGTGCAAGAAGTCTGTATTACAATCTACACATAAGAAACGTAGAACTGAAAGAAGTATATTTAAAATACGATTAAAAAGTAATAATAATCTTGCAGAGCACTTAAATTTCCAAGCAGCTAAGGTAAGAACAGATCATTAGTGAGTCAGTGACAAAGGGATTCTAATCATATAAATTTCTAAACTAAATTTTACATTGCAGAAACAAAACCCTCGATATAAAAGCATTGTGCAAAGAGAAGACGAATCAACCCTACCCTAGTACAGGACAAAAATTTGAAAAATTGAAGGAAGGTGAGTGGTTGGGCCTTATACTCTTCCACAGCCCTAGAGTACAAAAACTATTCATCTATGGCTGTTCCCCAACCCGATAATACTAGTCCCTATGCCCCTGTCAGGGGAAGGATAAGAAATCAAGTCCCATCAGGCTCTTCAGAATCCATGCAATGGAAGAAACCTTGTTCCAGCATTCTGAAGTCAAGATGTAATCATGGCATTCTGCATTTTGGAAAGAGGAAAACAATCTTCAAAACATCCAAGACAATTAATAATTAAATATGAAAAATGACAGTACCTTGATGCAGCAGAAACCTCATTATCATTTCCAACTTTATGAGACATCAGATAAACAGCAGCAAAGAGCAATCTCAAGACACCTTCTTCGGCCAGATTGACACCCACAAGCATTTCCAGGGAACTGTTCATTTACCAGAAGAATACAAATAGATTTAGACTCATTTTAAAACTAGATATTAACCTCAAATGAATAAAATATCAGGCAGCAGCTAAATGGCATGGAAAGAACCACTGTACAAGCAAAAGAAACAAACTACCAAATGAAAATAAGAAGAAAAGTTTAGGTATTCATTCCTCTTAAGGTCTTTTGGTTATGGAGGGGTTATGATGTACTGGAACATGAAGATTTAGGGACTAGTTACCTGAAATTCATGATCACAGGTCTAAGAAAACCGAGCTTGGGCCTCTTTGGGAGTTTTGGACAAGGCTGGCTCTCAGTTTATTAATCAAAATAATGAGCCTAAAACTAAGCCAAGCCTGAGCTGTTCATAAATAGCTTGACTAAGAGCTTGTTTGGCATTTGGCTAATATAGCTAAAAAGCCATTATAAGTTGTCACATCACTCTCTCTACTTTTCTGCACATTTTTGTAAAAAGCCAAAAAGCCAACTAAATAGCCACTTCCCAAATGAGCCTTAATTTGCCGCCCAAGATGAAATCTAATCCAATTTACACAAAATAAAATATTATGCAACCTTGAGATTTCTTAAATACTTGTCAAAGATATACCCAACCTTGAGCTTTAAACATTCATCAAAATGCCCACACTATGAAAAACCTCTTCAGATCTCAAAAAATAGACCATTTTTGTGCATACATAACAGAATTTGTAACTTTGTTCTACATAGCTTACTCCAAATGGTGCTGCCTCCTCATGAAGTAGCCAATTAGCACTGTGTGCATCCATAAGAAATGTTATCTTAAGCAAATATTTAAGAGACAAATACACTAGAAAAAGTCAATTTTGTTGCTTTCATGTGACTTCCATCCAAAAAGATATAGTTGTTCCTACACAGATCACATGCCTAACAATGATGCAGACCATAAGAAACTTGAGAAAGAAAATTTAATAAAACAAGGAAAACTGGATATTGATCAATATCAAGGAATGACCCACTTGGAACCTTGCCTAGTTGAGTTCTAGTGGTGGTGAAGTCCTAACTATGTGTATCTTTTGGTTCCTATGCAGTTGATCAGCTTCCATTTGTTTTCTAGAATGTTTGGAAGCCAGGGTTATTTTCAATATTTATGAATTTTCTACACATGGGCTTTATTGATCACACATGGGTCATACTTTGGATCAAGTTATGTTATTGGGTTTTAATATATGATTTTTAGCAGTAAAAATCTTTAAGTTTCAAACTTTCAAAAATTAAAATCCTCTAAAAGTTAGAAATTCTTATAATAAGCCAATATAAAGGTTATAATTATTCTGATTTATTGGTGATCAGTTTAAACAACTCTTCAGAACTTTTGAACTGTTCATTGTGTGTTGCATTGCATCCCAACCTTACCTGGAATGCCTATTAAAATCTAGGTTCGATCCCTAGCTGGTTTTTTGCTTCTTATTCTTTTCCTTCACTTTCTGTAGTTTTTAAGTCTTTTAAAGCCCACAAACCAGGACTATTCAACCTTTCTTTAGCCTTAAATCCCCACTGGATAAGCCTAATCTATCCCCCTTTCAATTATACAACTATAGTTCATTAGCCCCACCCCCCAAAAAAAACACATCCTAGAACTATTCCCAGCACCCAGAAAAGACACCAAAAACTTGTCTTGTTACTTCAACTCTTCCATATCATTACCATGCATATTTCCTGCCCACTAGCCACAAAAACAGGATTACAATAAGCCTCTAAAAAGAGTATTCTTACTTCTTCCATATATCCATTTAGGCACCAAAATTTATAGGAGTGTTTCCTCAAACTTGTCAACATCAACCTTCCTTTAACACCTTGGCATTCAAGTTTGTATCGAATGAAAATAAATAAATAAGAAGAAGAAGCAGAAGAAGAAGAAGAAGAAAATATATAATATAGAATCTTACTTCTCAATCTCCTCAAATTTCAAGTAGTTCAAAGCCAATTGCAAGCGACGTATCCGAGAAATTTTCAAGTCCCACCCTGCCATGTGTACATTCAGAATGTGTGTTATGATAACTAAACATGCAAGTATTGAAGGGGGAAAAAAAAATCCAAAGCATCAATAACAAGTAAATCTTAGAATAAGTTTCAACAAAAACAAATTTTAATTTTAGTTATGTCTCTGACACGGACTGGCCAAATAGGCAAATGCCCTTAAGAGCCCTCTTATATGATAAGGAAGGATATGTTGTTTTTTTTTTTTTTTTTTTGGTCAAAACTTCCAATCTCAGTAAACCTCCCAAACACCAAAGCTGATTAAACAACCATATCCAGCTTACCAGCAACCATCCAAGTACTCTTACTCAAGCTCCAGAATGTAGAGCAAGATTTTCTTGATATTGGAATTACAATTTTAGTAAGTAACAAAATCTCTATTATTCAAGCTATAAAGACAACATTCTGACTTTAAACCCACAAAGTAACAGTCAGTTTAAAAGTCTAATGAGAATAAAATATTCATAATGTTCCCACTTTATGACCAATCTATTTTGTAGTTATTCAGCTGGAAGTCTCAAGAGAGTTCTGCAATTTTTCTAGCTTATATCTGGAGGGAAAAATCTACTACTATTTTAAATGGCTGAAGCCTTGAAATGTTTTCTACATTTTTCTTTCCGAAACTGTCCCCAACTAGACAATGAAATGGCATGTGCTGCCCAACTTGTGAAACACTGGTGCCACTTCAACCTAGCCGCAAAACCCTTTTGCAGCCATTCCCTGACGACTCATTGTTTCAAAATACCGTGTTTTGAAATAATAAAAAAAAAAGGCTGCGTCAATGTTTCTCAAGCAAGAACCTATAATTTCAAAAAACGAAATGTACAGCAATCAACAAATACTACTTCATTTGTGATCGACTGACACAGCACCACAATAGATTCAAAGAAGAAATTAAAAAGAAAAGGAACACAAACAGAAGGCGAAAAGGGACAGAAAGTGCTTCATGTGTTTGAACGGATGGATTATCACCCGTTGCATTGTCCTTGTCAGGTGATTCTTTCACAAGTGTCTTTTTCCGCTTACATGTCACAGACGTAGCCTTTCTGTCCGTTCTTCTAAAATTCAGATTACATGATTGGTCAAATTATATGTTATGCAAATAGGCATTGTATATTGGAAGCCCATTAAAATTCCATTCCGGTTGGTTTTAGTATTCATCTGCAGACACACAAATCTTAGTGCACATATTATAATAGTGTGTCTAAGATGTTTGACAATTTGCCTCGCAAAATATGATTTTCAAAGGATTATCTCACCAATTTTATTTCTAAACTAAACTCATTTATGGTTCTAAGAACCTGACATATGTACATGACTATGAGCAAATACTCCATAATTGTGCATATTGTTTGAGAAACCATTCCATCATGTCCATTGTTGCAATTAGGTTTGTCTTGCAATTGTTGTATCCTTTGAACTTCCTTTCCTATTATTTAATTAGACGTAACCTATTCATTCGGTGACTCACTAGCTAATTTCCTGTTTATGCCTTTTCTCATTATAAAGTTACACATCCACAGTTGCAGTCAGTGAGATTTTTGTTTAAGAAAGTAGTTACCGTGTTCAGAGAAGCACTGAAACAAAATTGCAATCACCATGACACACTTTAAACTGCACTTATGTTAAGAAAAAATAGTTATCAAAGTATATGAATAATTGAAGAAGTTTTCATTATTAATCGAGCTTAGGAATTATGAGAGTGGGAGTCCCATGTTTTACTCCCTTGAATTTTGTATTTGGAGAAGATGTTACAAGGATTTTGACTTGTGAGTGCAGTCATTGGTTCACTCACTATTTGGCTGATACTCCTTTTATGCAGGGCACTGCCAATAAATTGAAAACATTTGAGGATAAGGTCTACTGGGCATTATCTGATGAATTACGAGTGACGTCGGGGTTCCCATTAAAAAGATGGCCCAGTGAGAAGAGAAACCAATGATGGGAGACTAGCCAAGAAAGAAGAAATAGGACATGAGACAGAACAAATACTAGCTAAGAAGCATAGACATGGACACGGACACGGACACGTGACATGACATGGACACGCCAACACACCAATTTTCAAAAAATGAAGAACATAACACGTGGGGAACACGCAAAAAATGTATAATTTTATATATTTATTATATATTACATATGAATATATCATTCAAAGATAATAAAAAATGCAATATGATACTAATTTCTATAAATTTATATGATTTTTGTTTTATTATTATATCTTAAGTTGTTTTGTTCAAACTTATAATTAGTTTTATCTGTGTCTAATCGATAGACATGTGTGTTTAAGCGATAAACACGTGTTCTCCGAGTGTCCAAAGAGTGTCCGGGTCTTTAAAAAAAATTAAAAAATAAGACACGTTTTGAAGAGTGTTGGACACGTGTCAGTGAAGTTTGCAAAGAGTGTTGATGAAAAATTAAAAAATAGGACACGTTTTGAAGAGTGTTGAACACGTGTCAGTGAAGTGTGCAAAGAGTGTTGGTGTCCAACATGAACATGACACGGATATGTTATCTTCTTAGAAGTATCCATGCTTCTTAGAATACAAGAAAATTGATAATTTTAGAAAACTCAAGATAAGTTTGGCAACTTCAAATAGTAGCCAAAAAGCCACTAAAAAGGCCAAAAAAATCAAGAATTATACAAAAAAGTCAAAACTTTCATTTCCTCTCTACTTTTTGCACATTTTTTCGCAAAAAGCTAAAAAAATCCTAAACATACTAATTTTTTCACCTCATATTTTAGCCAATAAGTTACTAAAATAGCTTATTTCCAAACCAACCCTCAATATTAAATTAAAATACTCCTAATCAAATACTAAATCTATAAAAATAAAAAATATATATAATTATTAAAATTTCGTCTACATCAGAACCCCCGAAGAAGTTCTTAAACTAGAAGACATGCAATTGACAAGAATAGTTGCAGTTAGAAAAACATCACCCAATAGGCTTTAGGAACATTTATAGCAAATATGAGAGTAGAAGCAACCTCAAGGAGATGGCAATTTTTTTGGCTTAGCAACACATTCTGATTAGGAGTACCAACACAAACTTGTGTGGAAAAAAAAATGTCACGTTCATTTAGACAAGTACGATAGTCCCCATTAATATACTCAATGTCATTGTCACTCTGAAAGATTTTAATTTTAGCATCAAATTGGTTAGTCACCATTTTATGAAAAAACTGAAAACACAACAAAACTTCACTTCAGTGTGAAGTAAATAAACCCAAGTGAGACAAGGGTAACAATTAATAGAGGTAATAAACAAACAATAGCTAGAAGTAAAAATAATGAAGAAGGTTCCTCACAGATCAGAGAATGAGCATGAAAGGAGATGCGCTTCTATGATTAGCAGTAGCATAAGAAGAGCATTTGTGCTTGGCGAGCTCACACGCATCACAAACAAAGCAACTTCTATGACAATGCTTCACTAAGCTAGGATTTTTTTTTTCCTAACATGTTGAAAGAAGAATGTCCCAAGCACTTATGCCACTGATGTAAGAGTTGAAGAGGATGACCACTATTTGTCTAAAGGGCCTACCCAGAAGATAACACTTGAAAGAAAGAGGAAGGCTCGCTACTTAGAAATTTCCAAGCATCATGTGCTCTACCACAACATTCTTTTTCCCTGTTTTCAATTCCTTAAAAACACAATGTGTGGGGGCAAAAATGTCACAGAAAATTTCAAGGAATGGGTAATACTACTAATAAAAAGAAAGTAGAATAGTTTGGAACATGAAGAACAGACGACAAAGATATAGCTGAGGAGCAAGGTTTTAAAAAATAGCTGCAATTACGTAACGGTTTGGTGGTTACCGCCACCCATTACGGCCGCTATAGCAGTGTGACAAAAATTCACAACTGTAATGACCGCCACTGTTACGTACAGGTTGTAACAGTCTTTACATTGCCACTACAACACCGTTATGGCCGTTATGACCGTTATGTTTCTATTTTTAAAAATTTTTAAAAAAAATTATTATAAATTTTGTATATAATGCTATTTTATCTTTTTATTTTCTAATTACAAAGAACTTAAGTAAAAATCTTATCTATACATGTTTTCACTTTCTTATATTTGAATATTAACTTACATCTATTTCTCTTATGCTAAATTTGTTGAACAAAATTTAGATTTCATGTCATATACTTTTACATTATTATGTTGACATTTTGTATTTTGAACTTATGTGTATGACACTTTTTTTTTGTTGTTGATAAATTGAGACTATTATTTTTAATATTAAACATACTTCATTTTTTTTCTTAACAAATTGAAAGTTATCCACAAGTATAATTAGTAGGGCAGAGAAAATTAAATAAATCCAACAAAATAAAAATTCTACATAGCAACTTAAAACTAATATAAAAATTAGTATATATATATTGGATCATGTTTTAAAACTAAACAAAAATACTAAAAATCATTTTGAACCTCACTATATGTGATTTTGAAATAAAAACATGTATATTGGCATGTATTCCTAAAGTTGTGCTTAGAATTAAAAAATTCACGGTTCTGGTCAATGTTTTTAAAGGCTCAAGGTGCACCAAGGTGCCAAAGGTCTCTTTGGGCTTAGGCACAAGGCAAGGCACACACTTCATTTAAGATTTCAGTAAAAAAATAGATAAACTAACATAGACTAATAATTTGGACATCAACATAAGCAAAATAAAGGATTCATAACTTATAACCACTAAAACAAAGAATTTAAAAATAAAAAATAAAAGAACTAAAGCAAATTGTAGAAGAATTTGAAACATCTTTGCAGGATAGTAGCAAACCAGAAGAAGGGAGGAGAAAACCAAAGCAGAAAATCAGCAAAACAGAGTAAAAAATCAGAGAAGGGAAAGAAAATTAAAACCTGTAAAGAGTAGGGAAAAAAATAAAATGACCTATCCAAAAATAAAATCTAAACCTACAATCTGGAAGAAGAAGAAGAAGAAGCAAAAGAAGAAGAGAAAAAAAGTGAACCAAAAAGGCGAAGAAAAAAAATAAAAGAGCCTACCTGGAGAAACGAATAAACATGGGGGGAATTGGGACCCATCAACTTGGAAGAAGAAGAGAAAGAGGAGAAGAAGAAAAAGAAGACGAGAAAGAGGAGAAGAAGAAAAAGAAGAAAAGAAGGAGAAGAAAAAGAACAACAGAAGGAGAAGCAAAGTTTTGACACTATTTTTGAATGAAGTGTGCTTTTCTTGCACCTTACGAGCTCGAGGCGTGCGCCGTGCTTCGCTTCTTTGAATGCACCTCGCCTAAGCTTCTTTGAATGTACCTTGTCTGAGCTTGTACAAGTCGCAAAAGCTGCGCCTAGGCATGCTTTTACAACACTCGTTTTGGTTGCCGCCACTATTACGCTACGGCCGTTACACCTTGCAACCGTGTCAACGCTACCGTTACCGTTACTGCTACAATAACTACCACTGTTATTTAAAACCTTGATGAGGAGCAATAGATAGAACCTTTCCTAGACACAAAAGACAAAGAACCATCATCCACTTTACCTTTATTATCCCTACCAGAAGTGCCAATCATTGACAAGAATTCTGTAATAGCTACAATATTCAGCTACTACATAACCCCCCTCCCAACCCCAAAAGAAATTCAAACCAAATTAAGCCTTGTGTCCCAACCAAATAGGTCAACTGCATGAATCTTTTTTCAACATTCCACTCTATCAAGGACTATACACTCAGTTAAATGAAATAAATTCATATCCTTCTACGCATCCCAAGTCAGTTTAGGTCTTCCCTCCCCTTATCATTTTTGTTTACGATAATCATATCTCTTCCTTTTTGTTCCATCTAATGATCTTTATTGTACATAACGAACCTATCTTAGCCTTAGTGCTACTCCTACTAGTTCACAAATATACTCATTTGTAATACTACCTAACCTAATCTTACCATCCATCTAGGTATCCTCATGTAGCAACACTCAATTTATGAATGCTTTTTTCTTAGTCGCCCAACATTTTGTCCTAGAAAGCATTTTCAACCTTATAGTTCTATAAGAAAATTCTTTCAATTTTGTTAGTATGCCGTTGATCACATAATATGTCAAAAGCATTTTTCCACTTAAGCCAACTCACCTTGTGCTATAGATCAACATCGTCTCCAACCCTTCCATCCTTCATTAATAATTGAACCTAGCAAAAAAAAATATTCACTCTTTGTTATCTCCTGATTTTTAATTTTTACTTATCCAATATTTCTACTTCCATTGTTACTAAACTTACAATCCATGTATTTAGTTTTAATTCTACTAATTTTAAACCATTTTTGACTCAAGTGCTTCTCTCTAGTTTCATCCACTACAATAATATCATTAGTCAACAACATACACTATGGAACATCATCCAGAATGTGTTTAGGTAATTCATTCATGATTGAGGTAAACAGGTAAAGACTCACAGCAACCCTACCATGATTGTTAATACTAATTTCTCATGCAAGTGATCTAATTGTAATCACAAACCCATCATAATTTCCCTTCTCGCATCAATATATCCCTTGGTGACATTTGTTTTCTCACTTTAGTCACCCTACTGTAAACTATTTCTAAATCTATAGAAAACAAATGAAGATCTTTCAGCCTCCTCTATTAATCTTCTTCGTAAACATATCAGTTCTACAGTTGATCTACCAGGCTAAATCCAAAATGATTCTCTAGCACTATTGTTGTAACTATGGTTTTTAGAATCATGCGAGTCGCGATTCGATTCGTGCAATTTGATACGATTTTCATGCTACACGATACAACTAGCAGGTTTGAATCGGATCTGAATCGCACGATTCAATACATGTATCACACAGAATCGTGCGTATCGCACAATTTGGACGATTCTTGTGATTTACAAGGAAAGGCATCATTTTATTTCTTTCTTTGTTTCTATTCGATCGATTGTCACAAATGTTTAGTTTCGATCAAACCCGACTCAAATGACTTTGAAAACAAAACAAAAAAGAAGAAGAAGAAGCTCAGATCTGAGAAAGAGATGCAGAAAGAAGAGAGAACATATCAGAATACGTATTCGCCACTGTCTTCACCATCTCCTTCCACCAGGTATGCATCTCCTCTTCACTCTATAACTTTTCTGTTCTGTTATCTCTCTTTCCTTCTGTTTCTTTTTCTTTATTTTGACTGAGGTTTTTTTTTTTTTCTTCAGGTAGACGTAAAGCAGTTTCTAGAGAGAGATAGAGAGACTGTGAACTTGTGCCTATCTCTTCGTTTGTTTAAATCTTTTTGGCTTTGGCGCTGTTGAAGATAGCTGTTAACAAATAAAGCTATATGACAACTGTTTCCTAGATAATACATCAGGACCCGTGGTTTAACACTTTACGTTTTGGGTAACACACCATTGGTTAAAAAAAAAATGCAGGTTAAATAGAAGTGCAACCTGCTGGCATTTACACATTAATTAACTTAGAAACTATTAATTAACTTAGAAATTGATAATTACTTATTAAAAATTAAAAATTATATTAATAAGTAAATTATTTGCTCAATAAAACTTCATTATATCTATGCACATATATATTTAAATAGATTTAATTAAAAAAAAAAAAGTGAATCTTACGATTCACAATTCAAAATTTTAGCAAAATGATTCACGATTCGTGTCGCAATTTGACAACCATGGTTGTAACTCAGAGGCGATGCTCAATCACTATTCCCCGTTATTTCACTGTATGACTCATCAACTTAATGCATCATAGTTGTTGTAATTTTGGATATATCTTTTATTTTTGGGTAAACCACTCTGATCACTCTTGAAAATTGGAAAAAATATAATAAATAAACACCACAAATATGGCATAATTACACCGACCTTCCCTTTAGCAAGGCCAAAGCATATTGAACTAATATGGGTGATATGCAAACATAGAGAGAATCAAGAATAAAAATAGATTTTGGTGATATAGAGACGCCAACAGTGATTTCCATTCATACAACTAACGAATGATTGATGGAAAAGGGGCTTATGTGATATAAATTAAAACTTTTAAGGGAACACAATGTAATTATATCAAAGCTTGGTGTATTTTTCTCAATCCTCAAGGGAAATTAGTGTAATTTACCATCCCTATTACAAATTACAATGCATCAATTCTTTCCTAGAAGTACATAAGATTTCCCTAACAAAAAAACTCTTAAGATAAGAGAATAAATAATTCATAGGACACGAAGACACTAAAGTTATGGTGCAGGAAATGAAGCAACAATCAGAGTCAATGAGTCATCAAACAACAGTGGAGACTAATTAATTGTCAATGCATACAACAGTTATCATGTAATGACAGAAATAATAACTTCTATCGATAACAGTGTAACTTTAATTTCAAAGACTCTTACCATTTTCGAAGCATAACTGATCCGCCTCTTCGGGGCCTTCATATAAAAGGGCTCTATCCAAAATTTCTACTTTCCAAGGTGACCAAGGTTGTTTCAATACATTCACTCCAAAGAGGTTCACAAACTGATGGCCAGCACCCATACTGATACTTGATTGCAGATATCCAATTGCTTCAACAGGAAGAAAATTTGAAGAAACTGAAACCGAGGGCAGAACAACTGAAACACCACCTTCTGTCACCAAATAAAGACATCCCTGGAAAGTGCAACCAACAGCTTCTCCAACAAAAGCTTCCCAACCTTGGATATTAATACATCTATCATCATTCACTGCTGAATCTACATACAAATGGGAATGAACAATTTGACAATCCCTTTTTTCTTTTCTATGCTTTTTAATTAGCCTAGTTACACCAAAAGGAGAAAAATAAACATGTTCATCCTGATTAAATTTTTCAGTGGGAAGAAAGATTTCTCTCACAAGACACGATGGTAATTCATCACTAGAAAACTTGTTATCTATTATCAGGGATGCAGCTGAAAAACCACTCATATATGATTCGGATGGTACCCTTTTTTTCTTCTGATAACTGTCCTGGATTCCAGGAAGCTCAGTACTGTTCACATAATCTCTGAAGGAAGAACTTTCAATCCTCAAGGATGACATATTTGCTTTATGAGAACCAGTTATATTAGAAAAAGCGCTTTGGTGGCTTATATCAGCACCACCAATCTCCCAACCAACCAATATTCCATGCCCTAAATGCTGAAAATGTGGGAGCTGTTTTTCAAATGAATGATACTTTGCTGGCATATAGTCACCAGCCGGTATAACATAGATAACACCATATTCATCAATCACAGCTAAGACTGAAGTATGTGAAGCAATAAGCAGCCTTTTAAACATCCTTTTACCAAATAAACCACCAGTTTGACAAGATGGCTTATTTTTTACACCACCATCTGGATTATTTAGGATATCCACACTTCTAGGAGCCACATCACCTTCGTTAAACAATTTTTCTTGCTCCTCAGGAATTAGTTGATGATGAAGTCCACATATTTGTAAAATATCCACATGTGCTATATATTCACCAGTTATAGCACCATAGAAAAATATTTTTCCAGCCGCATTAAGGCAGATAAGAAAATTATCAGAAAATCCAAAATCTGTCCAGTCAGCTGCTAGCCCTCTATCTACACTTTCATCTAGCTTCACCGAGCAAACCCACTGTATTCCACAGCTCCCCAACTTAGCAACAACTAGTAAAATTTTGCTCCAGTTTGTTTCATATACACCACTAGAGTTGAAAGGTACTGGATCCACCAATGTTAAGACAAACCCAATAAGGTGATGTGAATTGCTAGAAAACAGTTTGGAACACTTGTATGAACTGGACATCCCACAACTGATGAAGTTGGACTTAACATTAGGTTCAAGTGATATACTGGATGAACTCAAATCTGACTTTGTAAATGAATTATGCACTTGATCTGTAATAGACTCATTACAGCCCTCATTTTTATGTGATACGGAAGTAGAATCGGGCAAGAAGTTCACAAATGGTGAATTACCATCAAAAATTCTGAACGAAACAACCATCGCAGAGGAGGGAAATGATGGTTTCTCAGGGTATTTAGTCCAAACATTACCATCCGATTTCAAAGTCTCAACTTCCGTCAAAAAAGTTCGCAACCATATCTTTGGAGCACGACTTGTCAACTCACCATCCCCAGCTTCCATACAAAGACCATTTGGACCTTCTTCCCCAATTTTGTTGGCCATAGTCAAATCGTCGACACCTCCAAAGGCTTCACAGCACAAGTCGGAGTCATCTTGTGCCTCCTTGTTGTGAGTTAAGGCAGTAGTTGGCCCCCATTCCACCCACTTCCCTTTTCCAGTCTCACCCCCTTTTTTGGATTTAGTCATTTCACTGGAATTTCTACATCGGCGGAAGGCATGGACCGTCACACCATGGTTGCCACACACAAATAGAAGTTCACTAAATGAAGCTTCCTCGTGCTGATTATAGGTATCCCCACATATACCCCAAGCCAGTGAGTTTACATCACAAACAAAAGGGTAATTATTAGATCTTGCAAAATTAGTCCCAAGAGAAAAATCATTATCAGAGACCATCTTTTTTGATTCAGAAGTGCTTGAAATACTCTCCCCTAAATCTGACCTACTAGGACCTGCCAACTCCGGTGAACATGAAGCTAAAGAAATTGGAGCCTGAAGACTTTCATAAGAACAGCTATCAGGATCCTTACAATCTACAGATTTCCCTGCAGAGTGGCAAAAAATAAACACAGGTTGAAAAGATCGATTGCAACTTGTACAGAAGAGGCAGATGACATTTAGAAAATTCACCTTTAACTAGAGGAAGCAGCAAAGCTTCGCAATGGTACGAAAGCAATAACAATAGCTCCCTTGTCGGAGAAATAAACGCTTCACGAAATTCTGACAAGTCGAGTTTGACTTCGGAGGTGCCCCATTTATGCAACTGCAATATAGCAGGGCCCTCACCACCAGAGTTGAAATCCATGCTGGTTCTAAGATCAAAATACAAAGAAGCATTATCAAATAATACTAATAATAACAATAAGGAAAATGATATACAAGTTCACTTTTTAGACCACTTTATAAACCCAGTGATGTGTCAAGAAGAAGGAGATCATTGGTTGATAATGGGTCGAGAAAGTGGGTCTAATTTTGAGCTTGAATAGCAATGCTCTAATAATAATCACAATAATAATGGTGGGAATATATGTCAGGCAAAATAGAGAGTTCAGATATGCACAGAAGAATGGATAAACAAGAACCAGGTTAAATAAAATAAACTAAATCCCCTAAATATATGAAGCCACCAAACTAATCAAATGAAGCTAAGTTTTCCTTAATTCCCACTACATGATCACTAAATTCCAAAGAACAATAGCAAGTACACAAACTGATGGCACCAATAAGAGGCCTCAAGTGGAACCCTAATGTTTAGGAGATGTCATTTCTAAATTTATTTATTAACACAAACACACACACACACATATATATATATATATATGGAGATTGTGGGACAGAAATCTTTACCTTTGAATGAATTATTTGTGAAACCCTAGTATGGTTGTGCAGTTTGGGAGTTGTTGGTTCTACACCATTTGTGGTATCACCATCAAAGTCACACCTTAGCCGCCTCACTCTTCTAAGATCCACAACAACCGGCCACCGGAAACCTTCGCCGCCGCCACCGTCGTCGACCACCGTCAAAGTTATTCCTTCGATGGTGAAGGAGAAAACTAGCCAAAAAACAACCTCAACCTCAACCTCAACCTCAAAGACCAACCGACCCATTTCTTTTAATTCCCAAACCCGACCCATATTTGGTAAACTTTGACCCATTAAACCAGCCCAATCTTTAACGTACATACTTTTGTATCCAACCCAATTCAATAAATCCAAAACTAAATCTAATCACACTTTCAGCAATTCAAGCCCAATATATCAACAACCCAATAACTTAATTCATCGATTAAACCCAGCCCACTAATTAGATCCAGACCAACTTTAAATCTTTTTTTGGGTGAATTATCTTTTTAAATCTATCTATTCCAATTTTATTCTCTAATCTCTGGAATTCTATCTATGAAAATTTTATCTGTTGAAATTTTGATTATATCTGTTCAAAAGCTATTTGTGTAAAATGCCATTTGTTTAAAATTCTTATCTGTTGAAATACTAAGCCAAGACAAATCCTATCTGTTAAAATATAAAGCCAAACTAATTGTATCTGTTGCAACACCAAGCCAAGCCAAACCACAACCACAATCACAACCACAACCAAAAAGAAAAACAAAAACAAATCAACAAGAGGAACAACAAAAAATAAATAAATAAACAAAACAAAAGAGATGATCTAAATGGTAGTTAGGGTTTATATCCCAGATGTAGTACCCTTATCCCAATTTTTAGATTTGAGTTGTCATTATCATCTAAGTTGAATCACTTTGAGATAATCAAACAAAAAAAACGAAGTGGTCGCCTTTGTTGCTCTTATCAAGACGATTGTATTTTGTAATCAGAGAAGATAGAGCATCCATTATTTTTCATACGAAGGCACTGTAGGTCGGGAGATCAAAATTATGTTAAAAAACACACATTAATAGACTTATCTTCGCACCATAGGTGGCTTTCTCAAAGCTACCAACATCAACACCACCGTCACCTGAAACCCTAGCTTTCGATTAAGACTCGTCTTCATACTACTGATTTGAGATCTTCAAATCTGATGAGGATCTCATATCTGAGGAGACGACAACTGATAAAAGGTTAAGTTCTCTCCTGAGACATATAGATCTCTCATTATCTTCTTTTTTCTCAAAAACATTCAAATCTAAAACTTGAGATCGCCTACGTACAGAGGAACCCTGTTGTCGCCACTACCGCCTCAATTGCCTGTTCTGAAACTGCTAAAATCATCATCAGTTTGGAAAAGGCAGTGAGGAGAAGGAAGTGTATATATATATATATATATTCATATGTGTGTATGTATATGTAAAGAGAGAAATTGGTGGTGCAGGCGATGACAACGTGGCGGTGAGGGTGTTTGTGGTAGAGAAAGGGATGCGAGAAGGGAGACACGTGAGAAATGTGAGCCGCCAAATGATGGAAAGCGGCAGTAGGGATGCTGTTGTTCTTCTTCTTGTTCTAAATGAGGGGTGTGATGTAGTTAGGGTTTGGTTTGGGTTTAGAACAGATAGAGATAGAAATAAAGAGAGAGAGAAAGAGAGATGAGTTTTATGTAGAAACGGAAGAGATGTGCTTTAAATATATGAGGGTAGTTTAGTCATTTTGCAGAGGCTTACTTTATGGACATGGTAAATTAACGCTTGGACCTTTAGACAAAGAAAATTCAAAATAGAATTTTTCACCCGAATGCCCTATTATTTATTCAGTAATTTAAGTATACATTTTAATATATTTCTCATCATTTTCTCTCCTGATTTTTTTCGCATTTCACTTCTTTCTTGTACATTTTCATCTTCATTTCGATTATATATATATAGCAAAACATTACTCTACAAATTATATCTATCAATTATAATCCTGGTAGCAAAAGTAAGCAAACATGGCAATAATGACCATGACTTTTTATGGTATACAATCATGTCCCTTAGATAGGTCCCCATATATATCTCATAGTAGTAATTATGTCCAAAAAATTAAGATCAAAAGAGGTTTAATCTTGATTTGTTTTTATTGCTGCCACCAATCATTTGTCAATGTCAATCACACCCCTAAATTCTCCCTCCCCCGCTCCCAAAATAAATAATAAATAAATAAAGTTAGTTGATCTTCAATTGGTGTTATCATGACATTTTTATGATCAGTACCATTTATGTTTCAAAGAAATCATTTTGGGTTGTTTTGGTCTTTGGCTTGAATTTGAGAGATCAAAGTTTTCAAGGGAATTTTCATGCACAAAGACTTGTGTGACAAATCATGATATGATACATCAACAATTTGTGGTTCAACCCCAACTCCTAACTCCATGTTTTAATCAGTGCAAGCTAGAGCTAAAAGAATATTCATCTCCTGTCTATATACAATGTATATTTACTTTTTCATTTTAGTGACTTTTGTGTATTCTTTAGTAAAACACCAATTCTATGAATTTACAAAAAGAAAAAAAAAACGAAAATAGAAAAAAAAGAAAAAAGAAGTGCTCAAAATGTGTGAATCAAATCTATTTGGGGAATAACCCACATCATATCAAGTTTAAATCTACATCGAAAATGCAAATTCTCTTAGTAAAAAATAAATCTCAAATTCTACCTTTCTTGGTAGGTTTTGTTTTGCTAATCCAAACCATGCTCAAGTTAGAGAAAACTAGATTGTATCATTTTAACAAATTAATTGAGATTTAAAAAAAAAAAATCTAATTCATACCTTGTTATTCTAAAACTTTAAGATTGTGTTGGGTTGGATGATTTGCTGAGAGAAATGGAAAGAGAAAATGAAATGCAATCTCACTTTTTATTTGATTATAATGAAAAACACAGGAGAAAATAAAATGAAAGGAAAATGCAATCACACTCTTTGTCTTTTAGGTTCACTTATTTTTTATTTCTTTATTTCCCAACTCAACCAAACATAGCGTGGAATTTCAATCCTATCAATTCTTTTTTCCTTTCTTTATGTTTTTTTCTTTCTATTTTTCTTTTCCTTTCCATTTCATCATCAAATCTCCCAACCAAATACAACATAAGAAAACAAAAGTTAATTAGCATTGTTCTAATTACATTCATGTGTCAAAAGAGTGAGTAGTCATGCAAGCAGCATAAACTTTTTCCATTATTCCAATTATCAATGTTTGCTTTGTACTCAGTCGTGGAATCGAAATCTGTAGAGGCATGGATTGACAAAACAAATGCTCTGTACAAATGCATGAAAGTGAAAAGTACTCATAGAGTAAGCTAATTTCAAACCTACAATATGAATAAAAAATTAGAGGTATCTAATGCATAAGAAAATAAGGGGGAAAAAAAACACAAAAAAGTAACTCCCGGAGAACAATAAGTAGATGACTTGCAACAAAATTATATGGTTTTGGATGTACATTAAAATGTCAAACCTGATTATATCTAACAATAATAACCTTGTTAGAAAAGTGATGCTTGGTAACTTGTAATGGCAAACATGGGTAATAATGGCCATGACTTTTATGGGAAAAAAACTGTCTCTTTTAGGGCAGGTCCTACATCTTAAATTCTAATTATGCCCTAAACCAAATTGAAAAGTTTAGTTTGATTTTGTTGCTCTCACTTATCATTTGTTTTGTTTAGTTGTTTGCAATTGTATGGCAATTATCACGATATTAAAGTGGTATGGGGAAATCAAACAGGCCCGAAATAACCAAGAATTCAATTTTTTTTTTTTAATTAAAAAAAAAAGAAGGAAGAAGAAGAAGATGATACTTAACTACCCATTAGCAAAAATTGAATTATCCAAAGCTCCATTTGAATGATGATAAAAAAAATTTACAAATCACTAAACTGATGATGAGTTAGGGTTTGTGCTAGTCAGCATTATAATTAGGTTAGGGACCATAAGCCCATAACACCATGCTGAAATTTTCTGGGTCATGTACCATTGTGTGCTGAGCTTGCTCGGGCCTAAACATGTTTAAAGCTTGTCTGGATTGGGTCTGGGCTAATGTGCTTAGAATAGACTGAGTAAATTACACCAGTAGTCCTTATATTTTGCTGCTTGTGCCATTTTAGTCTCTACAGTTTCAATTGACTCAATTTTGACTTTTAATTTTACATTTTGCATCAATTTAATCTAATTGATAAAGCTATTAGGGTTTTTAATAGAAAATTTCCATTGAATTTATTAAGGTAAAGTCACTAAATTGATCAATATACAATTTTGCTTCTACAAGTAAACTTGCCGCTCATGTGCACATTTACCATAAAAAATGTTGACAATTGGAAGCAATTGGATAAATTTGAGACAAAATAAAAAATTCATGATCAAAATTGATTCAATTAAAATTATAAGGACTAAAATGACACAATAACTAAAGTACAGGGACTAATAGTGTAATTTGTCCAAATAGATTAGACTGTCAATGAATCTTAAAAAGGTGGGTAATATTAAATGATAATTAGGAAAATTTATTACAAGTCAATAAACAAAGCTAGTGGAGCACAATTTTCAGTTGTATTGGATACAGGATTCACTTGTACTCTATTAATTTGTAATTAATTTTTTATACTTATATGATATTTCTCCGAAAAACAAATGGCAAAATTCTACAACAAATCAGTTTCTATTAATTAAAAAAGCATAATATAAACCCAGCTCCTCAAACTTTTAGCTTTAGTCCAAAAGATGAACTTCCTTTTGGTCTAGTTTTCTGGCTTGCTCAAAAAATAATTGCCCACTTTAGTATTCATTTTACTGTCTACTTAGGTCTATCCTTTTTTTTTCCTTCTTTCTTTTCATTTTTAGGTCAACTCGCCCTAATCCATAAAATGAGAGCTCACGATTTATGTTTTGATACTTGATCACTGTGAGTAAGAAAAGAAAAGAATTGTGGTTCTAAAAGACAATTCTCAATCTTACTGATTTATCCTTGGATCAAGATCTATAGTATATCTTCATTGGTTGCTACCCTAATTTGTTACTTTAGTTATTTCCTAAATATATAAAATGGATCATGGTCCAATTTAAAATGAAAAAGAGTCTTGAGTATTTTCCAAAATTATTTGATTTTGACAGCGTACATGCCAAATGAGAATA